CGCATTCCCACCCGGAGTCCGTAACGTCGCCTGTTCTTTGATCGGAATTGATGATTGTATGCCTGGGTGAACTTCTAAGTTATTCTTGTAACAGAATGAAGTTACGATTAGAACGAGAATTATGAATGCATCTGAGAAGACCGTTACATCGTGTACCATCACGTTGATATAATCATATCACGTGTTACCACATTATCACCTTTTCGTTTATTATCAGTATAACATTACTATTATTGCAACCCTATCATCATGATGACTAGTAGATTCGTTTCAATACAAAAAATCGAACAAATTAACGAATACGTTTTTTTATTTGCTTAAAATACATTGGCACCCATCCTCACGATTACCTCGGAGCTGCTTGAATCTGACAGAGTGGGAGCCAACCAAAACCCACTTGTCAGCAGTAAACGTTGACATCTAAGCTTTAAGATGCTGTAAGAAATACCGCTTTACTTTACACGTCCAACAGGCAGCTTGATACGTTATCAAAAATTCACTATTCCAGGGCACTACCAACCCGTATATATGGTTTGAAGCTACCTTGTAATTTCGCTCAACGAAACTAAGGCGGCAAGATGGTTCCAGGCTTATCGTGTCTCCTTGTTAAGTACTTGTTTGCGACTAAACTTTATTCAGCATTGACATCAAATCACCAACGTGTGGCGTAATTTGTTTCGATGAGTTTTAAATATTATGGGTGCTATGTCAGAATGCTTCTCACCATTTTGAGCCACTTTATTGTGCACAGACTACCCAATGACCAGCTATGAAAACCGTATAAGCATCTAAATCATCTAGTCGGGGTATCTCTATTTCTATTCATACCCGTGAATGCTTATTCGTTCAGAATACGTGCACCATTTAGCCGGACCGTCGCACATTTCTTGCAGGCAATGATAGAATAACTGATGACAATGCGTGGAACCATTCTGTTGAATCGCTAAAACGAATATAGAGGCGGTGAAGCCAGGAGCACAAAATTAACAATAACAGTTCGTAACGCAATACACTCCTAAGGTTGCTGAAAATTCCTAGAAAGTCCACGACCGGTGTCGCCATTCGTAAGGCTCATCAGGTAGGCAGGTGCACTCCCCGAGTTTCCGTCAACCTTACGTTCTACTTGAAACCAAATCGCACGAAATCAGCGAAATGCACCCATTTGCAAACCAACTGGGTTTCTCTGGAGACCGACCCGGAACCCAGCTGAATTCTTCGGTTTAGATGTTTCAGGGCAACTGAATATGCTGCACCAGGCCGCGTCATGTTTCAGTCCTTATGATATTCGAGATGTCGCGATACATATAAATTTTTGTAATGATCTACTCATAACAGTTCGTCCCCAAATGGTGGGTGGCTTACTGTCATGCATGGTCATGAAGTCAAAGCCAGTCGCGAGAGCCTAGCACTGGCTAGAAGCACGGAACTGATATAAAATTGGGGATTCTCAATAACAGAGAGGGTCCTGCGAAAATTGACACCATCTAAATGCAGCATATACCAAGAGGCCGTGAAAAAGAAATGCCACGGAATAAGTATGGCAGGAGTCGTAGACAAGGGAAGATTGCATTTTTGGTTCATTAGGTATTAATAGGCACGTTATAGTTCAAACCTGACAATTTTTAACACAAAAGTCCACTGATGGCTAACAAACTTTTCCGAAAACCTGGTGACCTTTGAGAGAGCAGGATGAAGGTGTCGAAATACGGGTAGCTCGGGTGTGTTTACTTGTGTTTGATCAGATGTCAGTTGATCTGCTCGACGGGCTTTGGAAACGACTTTGAGGTGTACGGATATTAGCTCAGGCGAAATACACCTAGCCATTCAAACCTGGTAGGCGGATATCGCACAATATGTCGGTACGTACAAATTGCACCTTTCTGCACAGAACACTACCGCTTTTGCTGACAGTCAAATACAGCATAAAAATATGAATGACTGAGAGGAAAGCAACTTAAGTTTCCAAGTGCGGAAAGTCTTGGATATGTAGTTAAATCTGAAGTGGGATTTCCTAAAACGCAAATGTCGATCTACGCTAACTTTGATTGAGAGAAGTCCTATGGCTGGCCGAAGAAGGTTGTATGAAGAAAGAGAGGTCGGACATTTCAGGGCAGGTGGATACCTCTTCTAATGCTATATTTACGCGTTCACAAGTCGCTTGACGAAGGTCGCCTTCTCTCTGCTTGGAAAGCCTTTGAGAGAGCAGGATGAAGGTGTCGAAATACGGGTAGCTCGGGTGTGTTTACTTGTGTTTGATCAGATGTCAGTTGATCTGCTCGACGGGCTTTGGAAACGACTTTGAGGTGTACGGATATTAGCTCAGGCGAAATACACCTAGCCATTCAAACCTGGTAGGCGGATATCGCACAATATGTCGGTACGTACAAATTGCACCTTTCTGCACAGAACACTACCGCTTTTGCTGACAGTCAAATACAGCATAAAAATATGAATGACTGAGAGGAAAGCAACTTAAGTTTCCAAGTGCGGAAAGTCTTGGATATGTAGTTAAATCTGAAGTGGGATTTCCTAAAACGCAAATGTCGATCTACGCTAACTTTGATTGAGAGAAGTCCTATGGCTGGCCGAAGAAGGTTGTGTGAAGAAAGAGAGGTCGGACATTTCAGGGTAGGTGGATAGCTTTTCTAATGCTATATTTACGCGTTCACCAGTCGCTTGACGAAGGTCGCTTTCTCTCTGCTTGGAAAGAAGCCATGTCACACCAATCTACAAAACTGGTGACCGACTATCGCCTGGCATCTACAGACCTATAAGCCTCGCTAGCGTGCCGTGCAAGGTGATGGAACGCATTCTGAAGCGAGCTATCCTAGATCACCTTACTTCCGGAAACATGATATCTCCAGCTCAACACGGATTTCCACCAAACCGTTCTTGCGTGACAAACATGCTCTTGTTTATGGACAGCCTAACCATAGTCAAGGACGAAGGACTCATAGCGGATGCCATATTTTTCGGCTTCTCAAGAGCATTTGATAGGGTCCCACACGTCCCGCTGCTCCACAAACTAGAGTCTCACGGGATTCAAGGGAAAGTCCTTCATTGGACGCAGGCGTTCTTATCAGACAGATCATTCCGAGTGAGAACATGCTCGGCCTGCTCTTCTTCAACGCCAGTCTCCATCGGAGTTCCCCAAGCCTTCATCCTGGGACCAGTGCAGTTTCTGATCTACGTCAACGACCTCTCAGATTTTATTACATATCCGTGTCTACTTTTTGCGAACGACTTGAAATCCTGGAGTTCCAATGCCAGTGCCCTCCAAATGGATGTAGACGCTGCCAAGCAGTGGTCGTTGGACTGGCACCTTCCTTTGAATGACGAAAAGTGCGTCCATATATCGTTTGAAGGAGGCCCAGTGAATGCGTTTGTTATGCATGGTGAAAAAGGAACAAAAACATCATGAGGATAGATGCCAAAAAAAGGATTTGGGCATCTGGGTCTCCTCAAACTTGTCCTTCTCACTGCACAATGAGAAATCGATCCAAAAGGCGCTCGCTATTCTACGGATGATCTGACGCACCCTCTTCCGTATTACTCCCATGAACTTCCAAATAATCTATAGGGCCTACGTAAGACCGCTCTTGGAATACGCTAATCAAGTTGTCCGCTCAGGACACACGAAATACGTCACCCTTGGGCTACAAAACGCGTCTCGCAATGCTTGATCTCTTTCCCCTGGAATACCGTCGCCTCCGAGGGGACCTAATTCTTACTTATGGCCTGTTTGAACAAAGCTTGGCCAACAGGTTTTTCGCCGTTGACTCAGCAAACACACGGTGGGGACACAGTAAGATTTTCAAGCTCAGAGCGCACATATTCAGTATAAATTTTTTTCTCATTTCGGGTAGTAGCTGTGTGGAATGACCTTCCTCCGTCGGTTGTTCACGCTCCCCCTGGAACCCAGCTTAAAGCACTATTAGACATTTATTTATGCGAATCCTCGCGCCGGCAAACATACTGCCTCTCACTAAGAACACAAAGAGCGGTGCTACACCGTTTTTTCACTTGTGCCTTCAGGGTGGACGACAGCCTCTGACCGACAAGAACAAAACCGACCCGGGAAACTTGGGCAAATGCCTCGATCCTGTGTTTCAATCCGTGAATCCGTGAATCAGTGAACGTCATGTTGAACTAATCTCACGCGGAGGAACGCGGATCCCCGGGAAAAAATTCCCCAGATTGTTTCAGAATATTTAGTCACGCGCAGTGGCAGTCCGTCCTTCCTTGAGTTATGTGCTTTAAGCATTCAACCCGTTTTATCTTGGCTTGTGCAAAAATGCAATTTGAGTGCGCGCGCTTCCTGGCTTGTGTGTATCTAACCAATCATAATGTTGATTGTACATGAGTCTCATGCTGTGCGCACACGGGCACTAGTGCGCCAGGCGCCTACCGTCAGTCTTTCCGCTGGATTTTCGCATCGTCTTCCCATTCTTCAAGTCGATCGAAAAAATGAGACATTTTGGTGGAACCGGGTTTGATGAATAGTCCTTCGGCCCCTCTCCGATGGTGTGTAGCTGGTAGCCAACTTCTCCGAATTAGCTTACTTTAAACTATCGATAAGCAATACGTTCCTGCCTCTGCCGTACGGCTGTTCTGGCCAACGCAGTTTCGTTTATCGATGATTTGGGAAGGTGGAGTCGATAGGTGCGCATTGTAGGTGGTGGATGACATAACTGATGACTCAATGCATGGGTGTCAGTGGACTTTAAATTGAGGAGATCGGAACGGGAATCATGTAATGGAGGCAACAGCTTGGATACATGAGCTGCACTGGGAGCGTAACTGGGCGTTGTCTGAGGATGTCTCTAACTATTGATGTGGCCCGTCTCTGGCCCACCACCTCGAGATGGTAGACGGCAATGACCAGCGCAACTGAGTTTGCTGGTAATGGCTTTCGTACTTCGCTTGTTTGTTTGGCCTCTGGCTCGTTTCCACCCTTCGCGTTGTTTTGCGAAAGGTATACGAGGAAATCGGGGCGCTTGGCCAAGCCCGCGCAACCTCTTAAACGTGATCAGTTCATCCATCGATGGTGAGTTATTTATTCCGAAAGCAATTTGACATTTCGGCACCATTGATCCGGTGTTCACACCAGACTCGAGCGATTCGCAGAAGACATCGATGGTCAAACACTGAAAGTCTTGACGTCCTCGGCGCGCAGCGACCAGGTTTCTGACCTGTATAATAGAATGGAGCGTACCGCAGCACTGTAAACTGGACCATTGACTCATAAACCGATGTCACGTCTACGCCACAGGTGATACAAGCCCACGACAGCTATTCTGGACCTCCCAATCCGGATGGAAATACCATCTTTCGCTAGACCACAGGAACTGATACAGCTGGCCAAGTGGGTAAATTTTCTATTACCTCAATCGGCTCATTCGCAAGCATGAGATTATGGTTCGAACCTATCCAGTCCTGCAGCAGCGCTTTCCGCTTTTCAGCTGTGAGGCGTATACCAAACCCGGATACAGAATTATTTAGGTTATTAAATATTGTTTGTATTTTGACGGTCCCGTCAGATAGTGGTCGTGTACCCTTTTTGAAAATAGTGATAACTGTCAATATGCCCCATTCTACAGGCAATTTTCCTTCGCTCCTCCACACCAGTGAGCTCTGTTAGATAGGTCACCGGGGGTTCTCCACCTTTGGAGAGGGCTTGTTACAAACCATTCGGTCCTGGTGACATCTCATGTTTTACGACGGATATTTCTCACTTTATTCCTTCCTTTCATTCATCCGTATTTACTATCTCCAAAGGCTCTTTTCCAGGATGCCAGCTAAACTGTTTTTCTAAGGTTTCGGTCCATATTTCCAGTCGGCGTTTTTCCCTCCGTTTGTCCTCTGTTCGGGTGGAAGATCGAAAGTGTTATTTTGAAACGCTCATCATTCACTTGCTATCATTTAATTTATCAGCCGAAATATGGTTCATTTGGCCTCTTGGCTGAGCGACAATTTGTTGATGACTTTTCTCATTCCAGAGCGTGTTCTTCATTGCATGCAATAATAAGCTTTGAAATATCTAGCCCAATGTACACCCTCAGATTATGGATCCGGGCCCGACTCAAAGGTCTATTTCAGTATGAGAATTAAGTTGATTTTTGTGCGATTTTTGCTGTAAACAGCGAAATGTATGCTAGATTTCTAAACGGGTGAGATGGCTCAATTGGTTAGAGCGTGGATTTACTGATTGCAAGGTCTGTCGTTCGAACCCGACCTGTGCGCCTCGACTTCTATCTAGGCTTGGGCAACCTGGTAGTATCCCAGCCCTCGTGCTTCCTGCGGGTGACACAGTAGCTAGACAGCGAAAGGTGCTACAGCTGAACGGAAGCCACGATTTGCGCACCTGTTTTATGGTACGGTGGTCGCCTTGCACCCGAAAAAGTAAACGTGAGATGTCAGGTAACAAAATTGTCACAAAGAATTAAATCTGTTGCGTAGGTAAGAATAAGGGGAGGTTGGTTCACATCACGATTCGGCATCCGAAAATATCACTGCGATTTCACGAAAGCCCAGGATCAGTGGGACCCAGGTCTCACGGCCCTCACTCACTTGCTTACACTGATTTTGTCAGAGAAGCATGGTATTCACTTGCTTTGATTTTGTCAGAGAAGCATGGTATCCATTGCGAATAATAAGCAAACATACCAACAACACGTTGTTGGGATTTAGCGTCAGTCAT